ATGCTTGACAAGCGACCCCCATGAAGATTTTCAGTAGACTTTACAGGTTTTGGGTTTTTGTGGTTGGGATATAGGAGGTCACGCTGTTTGTTGTCCATGGAATTTGTTTTGATAGCCCGCAAACTTAGAGATTTGACTTGTTAGGCCACAGCAGAGGCACCCAAGGAGGAATCTGCTGCGCCTGCCGCACATACCTCAGAGGCATCAGCTTAAAGCTAATCCAAAGAGGTCAGCCCATAGGAGACCTCTGGAAGAGACATGTGAAGATGAGAGTCGGCATACCGCAGAGACTTCCGAAGGAGTTAGCATTCAACATCATTGCAGTCTCGTCGTAAAGGCTTGTGAGGGAGGGTTGGTTGACGCATCAATGTTTTTTCCCCTTTCGATGCTTGTCGCATCCATTGACTGGCATTGAACATCGAGGGTCAGCATTTTGTTGTGAGTTAGACGCTTGTCGGATCAATTGATTGGAGTGGTTTGAATTGGTTTGGGGCCCACGAGGGCGTCTGATCCCTGCTTCCCCCAGGTCTCGCCAGCTGCGGTCACAGAGGCTGCGGAGGCGATGTGAAGCGTCGATGAGTGTGGTGTTCTGCCCAGTGGTTTGATCAGTCGAGTCGAGTTGAAACAGATGAGTTTGTTTAGAAAGAAAAGTCATATGATGTTGACATTCACCCACGGTATTTTTAGGGTCGTTCAACGTAGCAGTGCACCGTTGTTGGCTCTTTTCGCTGCCTTTTTCATGCTGCTTTCCCTTCAGCTGCATCGAACGAGCCGGTCGCGTGAACGCGAACGGCGCCGGAACCCTTCTTGTCTCCGCGTCTATTTTTTGAATCCATACCCGGTTTGGAGGGTTAAGGCTTGGAAGTCAGGAGGGTTTTCCAATTTCACACACAAGGGAAAACATTGACATGTGATACCCAAACACTCCATGGGACTGGCATAGGACTACCGATCAGGCCAGGGGTGGTTGAAGTCGGGGTCAATGTATGGAGCCCTATGCCAGTCCCATGGAGTGTCTAGGATATATGTGATTCTGTTCCTTTTTTCATCTGCTGACGGTGACGCAACGGCCCTGCCGGCCCGGCCTTGGACTCCAGGCGCCCAAGGAGGAAACCGGCGTCGCAGAGGCCTTTTGGTCGCAGGCCGCGGAGATGCGGATGCCGTTGATGTCAACATCAAGAGCCCGGAGATGCCCGGACACATGAACCCTGGAAGTCCAGTTCGACGATACTTTGACCAACTGAAGTAAAGGACATTCCGGGTGACTCGGGTCGCCTAGTCATAGTCAGACCATTCTTTGTATAGTCTTTGACTTGTGGGGTGAATGTATGGTTATTCTCTAGTTAGGCAAAAACCATTGGAGTATTATGGAGTATTCAAACAACCATTGGCCTGTTTCTTTTTGTTTTTTTTGTGCACGTTCTATGTTCGTTCTCTAGTTGAGGATTGTTTGGAGTCAATCACGTTGATGTGTGAAGAAGACACGGCAATTTCACTCAACTCCGGTGATAGTTCACTGCTTCTCGTGGTGCTTCAAGGAAGTCAACGGTTTTCCGCCTTGTCCTATTTTCCGACTTGCGGTCATTGGCAGGTGGCTGGATCTGCTCCGCCGGCGGAAGAGAAGGAGGTGCAGATTGACATATCTATAAAGCACTATCTAGTAAGTCCAAGTTCGACGATGTTTTGACCGACTGAAGTAAAGGACATTCCTGAACTCGGGTCACCCAGTCAGGCCATTCTTTGTATAGTCGTTGACTCGCAGGGAGATGATCAAGTTCTAATTTTTCCCCTCTGTTCTTGCGCGCTCGGAGTAGTTGCTGCAGCCACAGCACAAGAACTCGGAGTTCGTTGCATCGTCGCAGGCAGAAGCTGCTCCAGTGCCACCAAGCACAGAAGAGGTCGCCGACCGGACTGGTCCACGGTCTCTTCGGGTGGAGTCCGAGGGGTCTCGCGCAGTGACTGGGTGGGAGTCCGAGGGCCTCGTGTCGGGGTGTTTGGTGCGGATCAGCGCAGTGTTTGGTGTGCGGATCAGTACGGTGTTTTGTTTGGTATGACCAGCCATCCATTTTGACGGGACAGTCATGTGGTCACATGTGGTCGGAGAATCACAGGCAGGAAACGCTCAAGAGGAGGCAGGAATGAGAAAGACGCACATGTACGAAGGAGTCGATTAATTAGCAATCGATGTGTAGTCGTACTAGGACACTTGAAGTCATCACAACTACAAACAAAGGTTTGTAAGCCTTCAGCCGAAGCCGAAAGAAACGTGGGCTTTCTCAAGCACTTGAAACTGCTTCCTACAGAAGTCGTCCAGACCCTGTAACCTGAAGAATGCAGACACGCGGTTTGTCTGAAGGCTGCAGCATATCAACAAAGAGCATCAAAGAACTCCATAGAACATCATACCTGGACCTTCAAAGGGGGTGTCCAATGGAGATCCCTAGGTAGTGTAGGGGCTTCCATTGGTGACCCCTTTGAAGGTGCTGGTAGAACTCCTTGTTAGTTTATTCAATAAACTCGTGGAATTGCTTGGACGTTTCACCAGATCTGCTGCCATTGTGGCTGCGAGGATGATTCGACTTGCGAACTCGCTCGCTCGCTCGCTGGCGTGTTCGAATTCGCAGCATGCACCAGCGAACGAGATCCAGATGTTCAAACACACCCCTCAACGCCCCTCAGACGAGATCTTTAAACAGTCGGTCGACCGACTAGACCAGCGGAATGGAAAACATCGCATGGGGTAGACCTCTTGCATCCGACTTTCCGCCCGCCCGCCCCCCGGCTCGTGACCGAGACGAGAGCAGCGCAATGACTGAGAGCGCCGCCGACTTCAAAGCCCGAGAGAAGATCGTCTTGGCCTACCTCCTCACCATTCCCGAGGTCGCCGCCGCCGTCGCCCTGCAGCGGGAAGGCAAGTCTCAAGAGGCCAAGAGCAAGTTGCGAGCGGCGGTGAGGAGCTTGCCTCCAGAGATTCAGGAACGCGCCGGCAGTCTCCAGACGAACGCGGAAGCCTCGCGCCCGACGTCGAAGTGACGAACGGAGCCCGGAGAAGAAGGGAGGGCATCTCTGGGGCATCGCTGGTTTGCCTGCCCAGAAGCACCTGACGTTTGGAGAGTCAGCTAGGCAGCTAGGCAGCCGGCCTCAACAGCTGAGCCAGCTCGGCCAGACGAACGCGGACGGAAGCACCGGTGAACCCGAACCGGGTCGCTCCACGGGCCAAGTGAAAAGGAAGGCGATCGGCCCGTGCGGTCGGTCGGAGATGCTCCGCGGGTGTGCTGCTCGGGTCGCAAAGCACGAAGCGGGTCGGCGGGTCGCTGGGTCGCTGGGTTGGCCACAAAGGTGCGAGGTGTCTTTCTTCCAGTGTTTCGTTTGGGGTCGTCCAATGGCACGGAAGAACGAACGGATGAGGGGGTGTTAGAAGGGGGAGGGGGTGTTAGAATGTCTTCAGCTGCTCCAGATGGTCAGATCGGGCAGAGTGGGAGCAGTTTCTTTCCTCTTTTTCCTATCATCCCTCATATCTAAGTGATATCATTTTCGGTTGTCCCGCTCTGAACAGAGGGGCCACCACCTGCAGGTGGGTGGATCTTCAGAGGAGAAGGTGCGCAGCTGAACCCCTCTCGCTCTGAAAACTCTTGTCTTTGTTGTTCTGATGGATTCCGATGGATAACTTGTCCTTTAAACAGAGGCTTCTGATGGATTCATATAGTTGTTCAGTCAGGTTACTGTACAGTGCGCGTGTGCGAGAAAATCACTCTGAACATAGGCAGAAGCAGCACCTTTGCCACCCGCCACGGAGGAGGCGACGCTTGCATTGAGTATTTAGAGGTGTTCAGGTTGGCAAAGAGATCATCTAACAAATCGAATGCTTGTCGGGACAGGTTGTTTTCCACAGAGGTTGTATTTCCACGGCACTTTTCGTGGATATGCACGGAAGAATGCATATGTGCACGAACGTTTGGTTCTGCAGCGAGTTTCAGGTGGCTGGCTCATCCCCTCCTGTTGAAGAGAAGAGCGAGGTGCAAAGTGGTTCATCTTCAACTGGCAAAGAGTTTTTCGTTTTGCCCATTTTGTCTTTGCAGCCGATGCCTTTCTTGTAGTGTGGTCGTTCTAAGTTGTTCTTGCCATCAGTGCCATCAGCTTCTTGTTCATGCTTGCTGTAAAGAGCACAGTGATTATGTCACAGGTTTCTCCTGCACCCCAAGCTGTCGAGGAGGCTGGAACACAAGGACTCGAGCGGTTTTGGTCGGCATGTTCCACACAGAATGACTGCAGCACGAGCTCCTTTGCAGTGCTTTGCTGAAACAGAGCCCGCAAGTCAAAGCTATGTACTATGTACATCCGTACGTTGTTTTGCCAAAAAAACTTTGCTTCTCCTTGCAAGTTGCAGGTAGCTGGATCTGCCCCTCCCGCAGAGGAGAAGAAAGAGGTGCGGAAGAATGTTGCGCATTCTTCTCTGCAGGGAGAGGTCATTTTTGGTGTTTGATGGTGTTTGATATTCTAGGCAGTGGAGATTTGTGTTGTAGTTGTTGAAGAAAACTGGGGGAAGTCTAGTTGAAGTGGGCCTAATGGGGCAATTCAGGCTGAAACGGCAGCACCTGTGGCAAGCGGAGAGGCGACCTTTGCATTTACTTGGACAGAGTCAGATTGAGAGCAACATAGAGCAATGATTGTAACGGCACCAGGTTTTCTTGCGAGTTGGGTTAGAAGAGATCTCTAAGAAGAGGTCATATGAATCATATGTGCAGGAACGTTTGGTTTTGCAGCAAGTTTCAGGTGGCTGGCTCATCCCCTCCTGTTGAAGAGAAGAGCGAGGTGCAAAGTGGTTCAGCAAGTGGCGAAGAGCTCTATTTCTATTAAATTTTGCCCTTGCATCCAACACCATTTTTTAGTGTGGCTTTGTTTGCCACCGAGCCACCGAGCCATCGAGGAGGCTGTAACACAAGGAGTTCCTTGAACATGCGCGAGCGTTTTGGTTGACATGTTCCAATGCAAAATGATTGCAACACAAACTTCACTCCATTTCCAACTTGGCTGAAGCAGAGCCCGCAAGTCAAGGGGCATGGTGGAGGAAAGCTGCATGTTTTGGCCGAGAGAGAGAGAGAGAGAGAGAATTTTTCTGCTCGCAAGTTGCAGGTAGCTGGATCTGCCCCTCCCGCAGAGGAGAAGCAAGAGGTGCGAAGAATGTTGCGCATTCTTCTATGCAGGGAGAGGTCATTTTTGGTGTTTGATATTCTAGGTAGTGGAGGTGTTGTAGTTGTTGAAGAAATCTGGGGGAAGTCTAGTTGAAGTGGGCCTAATGGGGCAATTCAGGCTGAAGCGGCAGCACCTGTGGCAAGCGGAGAGGCGACCTTTGCATTTACTTGGACAGAGTCAGATTGAGAGCAACATAGAGAGCAATGATTGTAACGGCACCAGGTTTTCTTGCGAGATGGGTCAGAAGAGATCTCTAAGAAGAGATCATATGAATCATACGTGCAAGAACGTTTGGTTTTGCAGCAAGTTTCAGGTGGCTGGCTCATCCCCTCCTGTTGAAGAGAAGAGCGAGGTGCAAAGTGGTTCATCAAGTGGCGAAGAGCTCTATTTCCATTAAATTTTGTTCTGCATCCAACACCATTTTTTAGTGTGGCTTTGTTTGCCACCGAGCCATCGAGGAGGCTGTAACACAAGGAGTTCCTTGAACATGCGCCAGCGTTTTGGTTGACATGTTCCAATGCAAAATGATTGCAACACAAACTTCACTCCATTTCCAACTTGGCTGAAGCAGAGCCCGCAAGTCAAGGGGCATGGTGGAGGAAAGCTGCGTGTTTTGGCCGAGAGAGAGAGAGAGAATTTTTCTGCTCGCAAGTTGCAGGTAGCTGGATCTGCCCCTCCCGCAGAGGAGAAGCAAGAGGTGCGAAGAATGTTGCGCATTCTTCTATGCAGGGAGAGGTCATTTTTGGGTGTTTGATATTCTAGGTAGTGGAGATTTGTGTTGTAGTTGTTGAAGAAAACCGGGGGAAGTCTAGTTGAAGTGGGCCTAATGGGGCAATTCAGGCTGAAGCGGCAGCACCCGTGGCAAGCGGAGAGGCAACCTTTGCATTTACTTGGACAGAGTCAGATTGAGAGCAACATAGAGCAATGATTGTAACGGCGCCAGGTTTTCTTGCAAGATGGGTTAGAAGAGATCTCTAAGAAGAGATCATATGAATCATACGTGCAAGAACGTTTGGTTTTGCAGCAAGTTTCAGGTGGCTGGCTCATCCCCTCCTGTTGAAGAGAAGAGCGAGGTGCAAAGTGGTTCATCAAGTGGCGAAGAGCTCTATTTCTATTAAATTTTGCCCTTGCAGCCAACATCATTTTTTAGTGTGGCTTTGTTTGCCAACGAGCCATCGAGGAGGCTGTAACACAAGGAGTTCCTTGAACATGCGTGAGCGTTTTGGTTGACATATTCCAATGCAAAATGATTGCAACACAAACTTCACTCCATTTCCAACTTGGCTGAAGCAGAGCCCGCAAGTCAAGGGGCATGGTGGAGGAAAGCTGCGTGTTTTGGCCGAGAGAGAGAGAGAATTTTTCTGCTCGCAAGTTGCAGGTAGCTGGATCTGCCCCTCCCGCAGAGGAGAAGAAAGAGGTGCGAAGAATGTTGCGCATTCTTCTATGCAGGGAGAGGTCATTTTTGGTGTTTGACATTCTAGGTAGTGGAGATTTGTGTTGTAGTTGTTGAATAAAACTGGGGGAAGTCTACTTAAGTTGAAGTAATGGGGCAATTCAGGCTGAAGCGGCAGCACCCGTGGCAAGCGGAGAGGCGACCTTTGCATTTACTTGGACAGAGCAACGATTGTAACAGCGCCAGCTTTTCCTGCGAGATGGGTTAAAAGAGATCTCCAAGAAGAGATCATATGAATCATATGTGCAAGAACGTTTGGTTTTGTAGCAATTTTCAGGTGGCTGGCTCATCCCCTCCTGTTGAAGAGAAGAGCGAGGTGCAAAGCGGTTCATCAAGTGGCGAAGATGTTTTCGTCGTGCCCCTTTCGCCCTCGCAGCCGACAATTCGTCTTTGTTACTGTACAGTGTTTGTTCTTGTTATTTTGTCACGTTCACATGTCTAGTTGGGTGTACCAAAGATGCATATCCCGGTGAGAATGCAGACACGAGCTTCTGCACCCACGCCGCAGAGACAGCATTTATCAGACATCCAAACCAGCATCCAAGGCTGGCCCTTGGCCGCCCGAAGGCTTCTCCGGATGTTGCTTTTCTTCTGACCGAAAGACATGGGGACAGGTGGATGCTTTGCAGACCCCACGAACCCCGCGAAGCACCTGAAAACGGATCCGAGACAGAGAGACGTGCATCCTTGAGCGAGCGAGCGAGCGTCCTCGGTCCGCGCCCGGGGTGTTCATCAGATCTAGCCGAACAAATGGAGCGCCTCCCGCGGAACCACCGAAAGGAGGTGCCGAAACGGAGGGATTTGACCTCCAATGGCTGCTATTGGATGCTACTTGTTGGCACACTGTTGGGCCTGTGAAGACGGGTCGTCTGAACGACCGCTCGTCCGAGTACGGGTCGTTTCCCACCCGCAGGCTCCTATTCCGCCACCTGCTGAAGGGTAGCGGCTGGCATTCGCGCCATGTCAGGAGGGGCAAGGGAAACGGGTAAAAGCGTTTGAATCACTGGAGCATTCGGTCCAACCAAGACGTTTCGGTTCAACCATTGGAGGATCAGCAACTTCAACATCCCTCCAAGGGGGCTGTCCCTTTCATCGGACTCTTTTGCTCGAAAACCCCATGCTCTCAACGCGCTCAATAACGCACCCCGAACGCACCGAACGGGTACGGATCCCCAAGTACGCCAAGCACCCGGGACTCGCCGATCGGCCGCTCGGCGGAACCGTTCTCGCGCCTCCAGCGGGACGGGCTCACAGGCCGTCGATCGCCAGCGAGCCGACGCCCGAACGACAACAGGTTCCGATCTGAAAGAGGTCCGAGGGGATTTGCGCCCCATCAAAGCAACTGCGTTGGGGACTGATGTTGTTCAGCACTTGGGCACTGGAGATCCGGTACACAACAGTTTCTGGTTGAGACTGGGGAGTTCCATCTATTTCCTTCTGATTGGGACTGGGTTTGACTGGGTTTCCAAGAAGGGCAACGCACTAGTGGTTTGGATGGTTTTGGTCCTCACGGCCAAGGTACCAGCGGTGCAGTTGCGGTTCCAGACCGCCAGATCACAGACTTTAAGAAGCCGAAAGACCTTATGTCGCCCCGGTGAGGTCCAGGAAGCTACCCTTCGTCAGACTTCCTTTTGTAGTCTCCGACCCTGATCATAGTTAAAATACCCTGGGAGTCAGGGGCTTTAAAAGAGTTACTGTAAAAAGAATGGTCTTTAGGTGACCCGAAAAAGGAATTTCCTTTACTTCAGTTGGTCAAAATATAGTCTTTGGACTTCCAGGGACTTAGGACCCACAAAGATGACCGTTTCTCTTCGACATGGTAGGAAGTCCAGGACAATTTGTTTTTGAGTTCCCGAAGAGGAGATCCCTTGACCTATAAGGGTGGTACCACCTATAGTGGTTCCCAAAGAGGTAGAAATTCTTTCCAAGACCTTTTGAATTGGATTTTACTTTTCTATCTATTAATAGGCTGGTCTAACCCTAAAGGTCAAGGACCTCCTCAAAAAACTGGGTTCGTCCTCGCAAAACCAGCACCAGTACTCGGTCCGACTACTCGGTGACCTGGTCCTCGACGTGAAAAACGCCACGACGGGCCTTACTAGTCGTAACAATGTTTGCTATTAGAAACAAGTGCCACGCTAGTAGGAACAAGTGCCTTACTAGTAGTAACAAGACGCCACGACGTGCCCGACCTGAGTCTCGCGTTCGTTTGGACCGGCGCCGTCTCGAGGAGTTGCACACCGCCAGGCGTCGGAGGGCCTGAGGGGGTTCCCGCAGGGGGGACGGGACGGCGCGAGATGGAAAAGGTGATAAACTTATTTATGACACCATGAATTTGTTAGGTTTCCTTTTTCCAGATGTCTTTCATTTTCTTTTTTGTTTGTGAAGCCAATTGTTTCCTGTTTGGGGAGTCAAAAAGGGTCTGCGCCCGAGGAACATGTATTCCGACCCATTCGACCGGGCGAATCCACCGGGGAACGCGTTCGCTCGGCTTCCGTGCAGAAGCCACGATCAGTACACAGGCACCCAGAAGAACAAGCACCCTCCTCGACCAGACCCACTAGTTGATGGATGGATGGACGTGCCGCACCAAAAGCCCCTCTTCTTCGGGGGCGGACCCCCCGCGGGTGCCACGGGTGTCCTGCGAAAGCCACGGTCGACCGGAACAACCAATCCTTCTGGGGAAGCACCCGGGTGAGGCTAGACCCAGGCAGCTGGTGCTTCGGTCTTCTTGGTTTAGATCCGGGTTTATGGTTGGGGAGACGGCGATATTTGTGGGTTCAGGAAGAAAACGTTTCCATCAGTTGTAGAGCATTTTGACATAAATCTTCCATGTTTGCAACGTGTTTGCCTCCTTTTCATGTATAACAGCCAGCCAACACTTGAAGACTCAAACATGTTACATCTCAGTCATATAGTTGGAAGATCTAGGTAGGAGGAGCGTCGGAGAAATATCACTTGTTCGGTTTGATTTTCAGCTTTTGGGATCACTCCGTGTCGCACCTGTGCATCACTCGCGTCAGGTGCCATGATCAGCATCATGTGACGGATGGTTCTTGTCATAGTCAAAGATGGCAGCAATCTACCGGCCGAGGGTATTTCCAGAGTGGCTAGGATTGAATCATTTTCGTTCAATTCTGCACACATTGATAGATCTGGACAGCTCTGCTGGACGTACCAGAGGTGTTATCCCAGACGTACCATGACCTTTTTGCGAAAAAGAACGAAGCCACTCACCTTTTCTGGTGCTGTAAAATGCGCATCAGCCGATCGGCTTGGAGGGGAATTTTCCGGCGTATTGCTGGACGTTTGCACCGCCCAATCGCTGCAGAGATGCACCGACACTTTGAGAGTGCCGCAGAGACGGAAGAAACACCCGCAGAGTTTTTCCAAAGAGCGAACGCGGAGGAGTCGACCCCCAGGTCCTTGGCGTGGACTCGGATCATCTCTGCAGTTCGTCGCTTCCAGCCTGTCATATCGCCTGGGTGTTGGACAACGCCTGCTGCCCAGCCGAGCACTGGGTGCTTTTTTTCCTGGTGCTCCAAAGAGTCTCTCCGGGCTCGAAAATCGAGAAATGTGAGAGGCATTAGAGCTACCTCTGTTTGAGGAGAGCTGTTTGTCAGATGGAGGGGGTCAGAAGCTACAGAAAACTAGCACGCTCAGCACGCTCTTTCACCTGTCTTGGCCTGTTCATCACTTGATTCACGTTGATTCCCTCTATTTTCAGGTAGATCTTCAGTGGAAAGATATGGCAGGGCTTTGCCTCCCAAGCAGAAGGCCCCAGAAGCACCATCCCCAGCCCACCTGCGCTGGGCAGTCATCCACCACCCCCCTGACCAAAGCTTGCGGATGTCGGGTTGAACCATTTCTCAAACCGCCAGAAATGGCGACACCAACCATGATTGTATAGAATCGAAAGAAGAAAGAGGGAGAAGCAGCTTAGCTACACCCCCTACGCAAGTACAAGGGATACACGGCGTGCTTGGATTTGTTCCCGTGAATCACAGAGCTTTGCAATTCTTTCCACTCAACGATGGTGTTTCATCGTAGATGCGCAAACGATCTGAAATTGGGAATTATTTCCCAAATCATCGTAATGCATCCATTCACATAGTACCGAATAGAAACAAATTAATATTAATATTGGTTCATTGAAATATTGCTTGAAATATCTTTTGCAAAATCGATAAGGGTTTTTGTTAAAAAATTCGATATTCATTGTTCGAAATAATTTGCCAAATTTAGTTATATTATATTGAAACAAAAACATATATATTAAATTTTCGTTTAGAAACAGATTTTTAATAAATTATGGTAATATAATAAAATAATAAAAAAACTATATTAAAATAATACTAGATTTCTTTAAAATAGAATATATAAATAGGAAAAATAAATACAAATAAAAAATAGGAAAAAAAAAATAAGAAAAATAAAAATAAATAAAATAAAAAGAAAATTAAGAAATAAATAAAAGAAGAAACATATATAGGTTCGCATTTATATCGCATTAAACGATAAATTAATTTTTTTACATTTTATATATCGGTTTAAAGATTATTGAAAATAATTGGAAATAATTATAGAAATTTAATAGGAATAATATTAATATTAATAATTTTAATAATTTAATGGGGATTTGAACAGATTAGTATTTTTTTTTTTTTTTTTTTTTTTAATTGTTATTTTTTTATTTTTAATATCTTTGTATAATGAATGCATTATTTTGGGAAAAGACATTTTGGAAATTAATTATATATATAATATTTCTTGTATATATCTTATATATAAAATATATTAATAAAAAATATTTTTCTAATTAATATATATATCTTTTATTTATTTTATAATTAATTAAAGAAATATATATGTTTATCTTAAAATTAGACGAATAATTAATTTGAATTTTTTCGAAATGAAGAAATAATGTATTTATTTTATTATTGAATTTATTCGAAATAATTGAAATGATTATATTATATAATTATTGGTTTTTAAAAATATTTATGAATTCTTGGAATATATTTCGTATTTTCTTAGATTTTAGGATTATTAATATAATTGGAAATAGCTTTATTTTATTTATAAATATATTTATTGATTAATTTGATTTTATATTTAATATTTGATATATTTATTATTATTATATTATTGCTATTTTTCTTTATATATTTATTTTTTTAAAATTATAATATAATTGGAATATAATAAATAATAAAAATATATATTATTAATTTTGATAAAATAGATTAATATATATAAATTATTTATTTTATATTAATACATATATTACTATTTTTTAATATATAGGAAAATATAAATATATATTTTAATTAAATCATTTCTATATATTAATGAAGATATTATTATTTTGAAGATTATAAATAGATATATATATTAATAATGATTCATGAAGAATTAAAATCAATAATAATTCTATTAATATATATATATAATGAAATATTTCATATTTTTTTGATTAAAAAAACAAATTGATAGCGAATAATTTTGAATTGTTATACAATATGCCACGGATAGATGAATTTTGTCGAAAGATCTTTCTTTTGTGGTTTATTTCCATAATGAATTGTAGAATATTTTGGAATCGTCCGTTGCCAGCGATTAAATGCGATTCTATATTGACCATTGCATTAAATTGGCCAATTAAATTGTATAATATATCTTAATATAATTTGCAATATATTAAAATATTTTCATTTATTTAAGCCCGCCCAAATAGAGGCCTTCAGCTCTTCTCGAAGCAATCAAATACTAATTCATCCGTGATTCATTACGGGCAAATTAATGTCCGCTAAGTGCAAAATAAGATTTTAAAATTAATAAATATATATATATAAAAAATATAAAATATATTAATAAAAAAATATTATAATCAAATTTATATTAATATATTTGTTATAAATTTAAATTCAATATCTATATAAAAGAATATTATATAATAATAATTTCATTTATTAATTAATAATTTATATTATTTCTATTAAAATTTTCTAAACTAAATACATTTTCATAATTTATATACATATAAATCAATATATAAATTTTCAAAAATATATAATATTAATATATCTATATCAGAAGAAATATATAGACCAAATTATTATATAAATAATCTGTATCTATTTGTATTATATATTATCTTTAATATAAATAATCCAATATATGGTAATTTCGTCGTCAATCCAAATATATATAAATATCAATGCAATTTATCATTAATTTCATATATATATATATATTCAATATTAAAAATAGAAAATCAATATATCAAGAATATATTTATTTTCAATTCTATAAATAATATTAGAAATATATTTAATCCTTTAAACATATATATTTACGTTTGAATAGTATTTCAATGATATTCGCGCATGTTGAATCATTGTCAAGGTTCTCCATGATCAGGTGTATGTGTTCGATGGGGGCAAATTGCTTGTAATTCTGTTGTTGTCATATTTGGATGTGTGCCGAGGAAGCACTTCCAAGTGCTCAAAACCAAACCTTTCGGAATGAACGCTAAGGTGGTGCATTCATCCTGTAAATAACAATGAATTCTGACGAGGACCCAAATGCCGGGTTAGGTGAGTCACGAAGTTTCTCTTTTGCACAGCGACCACAACGCCTGTTTGAAACATTGCGACGGTGGACTTAGGCCGTTTGCGACGGTGGACTTAGGCCGGTGGCGTTTAAGTGAAAGAGGGCCAATGCGTCCAGAACGCTTTCTAGACCAGGCCTTGTGTTGGGTATGAACTGCCAACAGGTTGCGATGTTCAATCGGATCAGAAGCAGGACTCAACAAATTGGCCCGGAATATAAGTGGCCTTTGGAGACTGCAATGGATTCTAAGGTAAGAGGGTTTCACCATAACAAAGAGTCCAACTCCGAAAGCCACGGTTCAACGGGCCGAAGTAGTGGACGGCCACAAGCGACGTCACCAGCCACGGTGCCCAGCCCCAAGACATAACCTTCCCGGAGACCTCCCGTCCCTGGAGTCAAAAGAAGAAGGCATTTTGTATCTTATCTAAGTTGATATAAGACCTTTCTGTCAGAAAGTTGATTCCTTAGCCAATAAAGAAACCGCATAGAATGAATTGGCCTCTATCTCTATATGTATATAGATATATAACAATCGTTATGTTTTGCTCTCGCGATCACGTCAAACGTGGGTTAGTGCACTGCTGCACGGTGCATTGCGACCTAGCTACAAACGCTGCATTTCAGCAGGTCTTTTTGCCAGGCGGCCTCAAATCTGCATGCAAACGGTTTTGTAAAGCATCCTGCTTTGGTGCCACGTCCATCCACGTCTAGTCGAAAGCCCATTGGCCCTGGAACCGCCAGATTCGCTGCAGAAAACGGGGCGCCAAAAATGAATTCGCAAAAGCTGAGACTTGCCGAGACCGCCAGTTGTGAGTATGGTGCGCTTTTGCAACCTTCTGAGCAATTGACAGCCTATGATATCAAAGCTGGAAAGTGTATGCAAACAATTACCTCTGCGTGCCATAGTCATAGGTCTACACATGTCTACACGGTTCTTCTTCTGCTTGGGGTCAAGTATTCACCATTCTGCACCAGCGGGGTCAGCACTGCGCCAGAGAAAAGAAGAGACATCTGGGTGAGTTCACGATGGGTCTTTCCCAGACCGCCTTGAAACAACATTGGCCGATTGGTTTTAGCATGTTTGGGCAAAACGCAAGGCAACTGCCTGCTACTTAGTTATATACAGCTGGTTTTCAAGATGAGGACACCTTGGGAAGAGTTTCTTTTAAACTTGTGGGCCGGCAAATTTAGAGGGAGGCGCCTCCAAATAGAACCAACATATAGAAGATAGATTTATATCTTCAACTCACTGGTGAATGAGAAAAAACATGACATCTGTGGTTTATTCATGTTAATCCCTGTCTGGGTGCCCAAGGTTTCTAGATGCTCAGGTGCTCTGCCCAAGGACTAGGCTTTCAATAAAGTGGATCAACGCCGGTTGCAGTCCAAGAAACTTGGCAGGGTCATCCAAAAGGTGTCTACAAGAAAAACAATGACTTCTTCTGGCATTCAATGTCACAACAAACGCAGCACTCCTTCTATCCACTGGTACTTCCACTGGTGTGTCTATCTATCTATCTATCTACTCAACTTGAAGCTTTTGTAGTTCTTTTGTTCGGGGGAGGAGGGGTCTTCAGTTTCCAGTCAACTCACCCAGTTTCCTTTCTTGGGGGTCACCGCAGCGCTCAGGGCTTGATGCTGGTCCGCGGCCTCGGAAGACGTGACGGATGGGACCTTTTGATCACACCGACGGTGCGACTGGTGGCGACGCGCGTGGCTCCTCCGCACGACGGCAGGTTCAAGCTTCTGGTCGACCCGGGCCCCCCTTACTATAAGCAAAATGCTTTTGATTTGGTGGCTTTTGGCTTCTGGGGAGGTGGATTCCCGAGGCTGTGTCACTTTCGGCCGTGTCTCAGCATGAAACCCTCTTGATGAGAGACCCCTGTCACCAGTCCGCACGTCCAGCGTGAGGAAGATAGGGCAGCTCATGAACCAATCTGTTTTGCATAGGCCTGCCTAGTAGGCTCAAACCCAGGCAAACGGGAGAAGAACGAAGAACATGGTCTCAGGAGAATAGGATCACACAAAACTGCTGGGAGAGTGAGTTCACCAAAGCATCATGAGTTGAGCTGAGCCAAAACGATGTGCAAAGAGATGAGCTAAGACAGCTAAGACAGCTAAGACAGCTAAACTGCCCAAAAGGACCTTCGCCGGTCGCTCCTGCAATCTCCCGACACGTTTTTACGCTTGGTGCGACCTGCACCAACTCTCCCAAAAACAAGCGGAAAGAAGGATGAGACCCCCGAACACTCTCTTCCCTTTGCCAACTGTGTATCTCAAACTCTTATCTATATGTCCTCCATCATCCGCCATCCTTCCCGATACTCAGCCGGGGCCGCCTGTCACACAGAGATGCTACTTGGCTGATTCCTCAGCCGCTGAAGTTCGGGTGGTCTCGTTTGAGCAGCCGCCGATTCTGCGAATCAAGTAGTGCACTGCACGGACCGCGTGGTTGTTGCCCCCCCCAGTGAAGGAGTCTACAATTCAACATGTGCGCGAACTTTGCCTCGCACCAAATTAGATTCTAAATGGACTGATGACCATACCTAAGAGATCCCAAGAGAATCCATCGGTACAGCGATTGTTTGGGATGATCAGGATTGGTTCATGTCGTTTGCAACTTGTGGGAGTTGGCCTCCTTTCATCACCCCCTTTCATCAATCGCCCTGTTAAATTATCACACAGTTTTTGTTTGCTGTTTTCCTTCTTTGGTGCCCCATGGCCTGCTGTGACCCGCGTGGCGGGTCAAACCTGCAACGTTTCTTGGTGACTCGGGGGGGCACCAATTAACCGAAATCCAAGCACCACAGCTTCTCGCGAGGTGTTTCTTTTCTCTAGGGAAGGCGTGATCTATACAGCTGCTTCGGAGTTCTTATTCCTTTCCGTGCTTCTCCTCCCTACGCTGATCCCACATATGATCATATGGTCCTCTCTTGAGGCTGGATTTCTTTCTTGATTGACGGGGGCTGCCCCAGCCAGAAACTCCAACAAGCACCTGCTTAGACTGCATAGCCGCGAAACAAGAAGACATGCCCCCCTTCCATTTTAACAGCAGCAGCTCAGCCGAGGTTTCCATACCCCGCCAAGGTGCCAAGGCATTCAACAAACTCTTGGGCGCATATTGGGCTCTTTGCCTCAGAATCGGTGCCGTCGCCGGCTCATGCGGTCTCGATCTCGGGTCTTCCGCGGTGCCAGAGCGGTGGGTCGGCGGAAGCTGTTGATCCGGAGACCTTTCGGATCACCTGGAAGAACCGTGGTCGTTTACACTCCCGAAAACTCACATAGACCCTGACGTCCTGGCCCCCTGGAAGAGTGTTTTCCTCTACCAACCAGTGGTTTTCAGGGTCCATGGCATCGTCTTCCAGAGTGTAATTCGGGTGCTCGCACACCGCCACGACCGGGGCGGAAAACGGCACAACACGAGTTCGAAGCGGTCGGTGCCCAAGACACTCTGCTCGGTGGTGAACGTCCTCCGACTTCTCATCGTCATATCCTCAGCACCAAAAAAGGGTGGGAGGCCATGAGAGACGGTCAAAGAACATAGTACATCATAGGGCCATATGGGGACAACTCTTGATGCGTTACACCTGATGTTGGCAGATTGTTGGCCTGAAGTAGACTTGCCTGGAGATGCCTGGAGGTCTCCCTATTTTCAATATTACACCCACATCCCACATGTGCCTCACCAGCTGCTGGTGCTAGCTTGCTCGGCGCGGGCCCCAAACCGCGGAGAAACAAAGACAGTGGTTTCAGAGAAGGGTACCTGCACAAATGGCAAAACCCAGAAACGATGGCTCTATAGACTATGAGTCAAAACAGCAAGATTCTACGATGTCATCTGATCCAACCTGTCTTTTCCACCATTTCCACACACCCACTGTCCCATCTTCCACCTTTGCCATCCTCCACAGCTTCTATGACTACTGACCGATGCCTGGTCGCTGACGAGCCGTCACCGAATCCAGCGCTTGGGACGAGGGGCCCAGCATCCAGGCCAAAAAGCTGTCGCCGTTCTTCGAGCGGCCTCACCACGGAATACCACGGCGCGGGTGCTCCCGCGGTGGGCGCGCGCTTTTTGTGCTCCCGCGGTGGGGGAGGTCTGATTGAAAGAACGTCTTTTTCGAGCAGAAGAGCCGATTGCAGACCCATTGTTCTGGTCGGGTGTGGTATTTTGTTGAACACCCCTCTTTGCTTAGCGCTTCATCTCGCTGTGGTCTTCTTGGCGGGGGGATTCCTACTATTGGAGAGCCGTCAACGCGTGCACCGCGGTGGACCCACGTCCGGGATTCCATCAAACCCGGCCGACTTGAATCGCCCCATCAAAAGGGTTCTATAGATCAATATAGATCAATCATGATCAATCTGGTGGACTGCTCGTATGTTTTGAGGTGTTTTGTTGCTCTTAAGTTTTGTTTCTTGCAGTATTTCTTAGTAGCCTATTGCTTCTTCCTGAACGTGCTTTTGGCTGAATTTGCATGGAAAACCTTGTAGAGCTGCTGTGCAAATTGGGGCTTGCCCATCTGGACCCCAGAAACCAGAAACCGTCGTAGCCCGGTTCCCGTTCCCCGCCGTGCAGCCCACGAGGATGCGCTGGCCAAGGTGCACGTGCATTTCTGAAAGATGCTCTGCTCCTCGTAGGGGTCATACTTTCCCTTCATCTGCGGCGTATCGGCACCGGGTTCCGGACACTCGCTGTTGGTGAAGGAGAGGTCGGTGGTGTGTCAAAACGAGCGTGGTTGGAGGGCGAGTTTCTTCAAAAGCCTACCTTTTGGGGGGTTCTTTGGCGCAGCAATATGGGTCTGCTGGATGCAAAGAGACCTATACCCCAGCGATGGGGCATATGGACCCCCCAAATAGATAGAAAAGTAGATCTCCACTGCACTAGAAATGTATTGCAAACCGACCACTACAATAATATGGCTACCAGTCAGCTGGAGCCGGTGGGAAGTTGCTCCAAAGTTCGGATGGAATGCGCTCGGCCAGAGCGCCTGATGAGATCCTGGTCCAAATGCGAGTGGTCAAAATCAGGGCGTGCCCCCCGAAGCGCATGGGATTATGGGAGGGAGCATCGGTTCTCAGATATCCCATGGCACGAATTCAAAACTACTTCAAAGAATGCTGAACATTCATCGGTTGATGAGAGCACACCTGCGCTTCTCTTGCTTGGCCCACCTGTTGCTTGTGTCGTTGCTCTTCGAGCGCGAAGCAGTACCTCCCACAACAGCAACTTGGAGAAACCGAGGTGCTGGTCATGTGTGAGTGCTTCCCCCAACCAGCTCGTGCTTCGGCCGAAAGCGCTGCGACCTCCCATACAAAGATAATACTTTTTTGAGTAAAGCGAGAGAGGTTACAAAAGGTCATCCGCTGTGGCCTTTCAAGCTACGAACCGTCAACCCTCCTCCAACCTCAGGATTTCTCACGCTCCGAGGCCGACCATCGATATTCGCAAGCCGTGGACATCCGGTTGACGGGAAATGGCTCAAAACACCGACCGATTCTGTGGTCCGATTCTGCCAGCGGCCCGGCGAACGCCCAGTGAGAACCGATAGAGAGTGGTGTCGCGCACAAGATCGTGTCGCCGACCACATCAAACACATTCCTCAGGTGACACAGGCATCGTTGATGGACGTCATGGGTATGGTTCGGGTACTGGTTCAGGTATATCACAAACCCAGTGGATGCAGTTGCAGGCCTTTCTCCAAAATAGTGATGATGATTGTTTACCCACTGTTACAGCTTGGACTCAAAGGGCGGCAGCTCTCAGCTCTCCGACATCCTATCAGAGGGTCGTCCAAAAAAGTCATCAACATTCACCGCTCCCCCTCTCCGCACCTCCTATGGTGAGCCCACAATTGCTAACGCGGAGCGCCATCGTGGCGATGTTCAGGGCGCCCGGGGTGCCCGGCATGAAACTGATGCTGGCCGACAAGCCGAGAAGGGCACAAACGGTCACTACCTCATCCAGCAGGGGCACGGACGAACCGGAGTACCGGACGTGGATTGGATCTGCAGGAGTGCTCCCAGTGTGCCCAGGTTTGGCGGATTGCAACCTCTTCCAACCAGTAAGCACGAGACCCTTTTCTTGAACCATTTGATGGAGTCGGAGCATATCTCATCAAGCGATCTTCGCCGGGTGCGTGGTCAGCACCGGTCGTTCGACGGACGCCACGCGCCGAGGCGGCGGCGGAATCGGGCTCGTTGAGGAACAAATCACCTGCACGGCACCCGGGGGAATGGTGAGGTCAGTGAAGTGGGCTGAGTCCCTGGGGGATGAAGTATGATGAAGTTCAGATCTGCGTGAGTCTGGATGAGGAAGAATTATTCATTTGCAGCGCAACATGGTGGGTTGAAAGGAGGCCACTGCTGCACGGATATGATTTCCTTGGGAGTCAAAGACTATAAAAAGAATGGTCTTTAGGGGGCCTGAAAGGGAACTTCCTTTACTTCAGCCGGTCAAAATATAGTCTTTGGACTTCTAGGGATTTTGTATTTTATCATCCCATGTTGACACCAACATCTTTTTGACACTTGAAAGTCACCGGGCTTGACTTCCAAAAGGGTCATGAATTGGAGTCCTCTGATCCCAAGGACGTCCTGCGCCCCCTGCGCACACGCCGACGCCGCGGACGCCGCGGACGCGTCAGCGGCTGAACCGCCTGCCGGATCTTCATACTGCGGCGTGCTGACCTCGCTGCCCGGCGAACGCCCGGGCGGATCCAGTGAGCTTCCACCGAAGGTTCTTCCCGTGAGGATCGCCGCACAGCTGGTGTCTGGGACAGCTCAGTAGATGTTCACGCGAAAGGCGTACGCTCAAACGAAAACAAGAAACCACTCAGGTCACTTCTGAGGGCTCAGCTCAGACTCCTAGACTTTGTAAAGTGGCCTGTCTACTCATAAAAGCTTCCTCACCTAGATGGCCAACAAAGTCCTCTGCAGGTGCTTGGAGCTTTACTCATCATCAGTCGGTTAGATTTCCTTTCGCCCAGGAGTGATTCACCCCAACCCGCCCCGAGTCGCTGACCATGACGGTGGCATAAAGAAGACACATTCCAGTCGTCAATGCCCAGCCACCAATCTGCGGTGACCACTCAGAAGAGGGTGAGAAGTCTGTAGCGATGACTTCGATTGGTTCTTTTGTTGGGTTACGTCAGTTAACCAAACGGTTGGAACAGGCATAGATTCTTTTTTTTTTGGAACGTGGACATCACCACAAATAGATTTTACCGGGTTACCAAGGGCGGCAGCGAAAATGAAGGAGATCGACTGAGTCTCGGTCGTGGATCGTTCAGTTGTTGCTTGGGCCTGCATGGTGTTCTTTCGCTCCATTTTTTCGCCGACGTAGTAGTAAGGGGAGGCCCTAGTAGTCAGGCCAGGAGCCCCGTTCGTAGCGTCCTTGCTCCGTTCGTAGCGATGCCATGAGCCCCGTTCGTAGCGTCCGATCGCTCTGTTCGTAGTAAGGGCCAGGAGCAAGAGCCCCATGCTGACGGTGTGTACGGACGGGTCGAAGAAAGTAGACATGGATTGACACACCCAGGGACTAGCGACGGATCGGCATCCTAGCAGCATGGCAGCTGCCAGGGGAAGGCGCCAGGGGAATCTGGAGGCTTCTGGCCGATAAATGGTACGGTATCGGTATAGTAAAGTAATCCGCGTTCAGGCTTCTGGGGTGTTGCCCATTTCAGACATGTAGTTGATGAACGGAATGATGAACGGAATCCCTATCACTGCGGTTAAATCAGGAATCTTTCTTATCTGAAGAACAGGCCACTGGACTGGGATGGGATTTCTCAGTTTGTCTGTTCAACGCTTTTTGAACACACGAAAGCAAACGAACAGCTGGCAATCCTTGATTCATTGAACGTGGCCGCGCTCTCTTTTTCTGCCTCATCTCGCTAAGGTGTCCTGTGGCAGGTTTGCAAACTTGACCAACAAGTCTTCCAGCAACTTCATGTCAGAAGATTCACCCTTGATAGCAGCCTCAAAATCACTCACTTGGTAGGCTTTCAGGAACTCGAAGAACTGATTGGCTCCATCTCGAATGAAATGGCCGTGCTCCACGCCACAAGAGAAGAAGCGTTTGTCCTTCTCATCTGAGAAAAGGACCTTGTACACCTCATTCAATTGAAGGACACCATCAATCATGAAGCCGCACACATATGCGAACATGAAGTGATACCAATTATCCGCCGGCTGCTTCAAATCATTCACTAGCTTCTGAGTTTTGGGCGAATTCACCCACTTCTTGGCTTCATTCCTCAGAAGTACATAGCCTCGGTGAAGACTTTCAGGATTGAGCTTTCCATCCGAGAGCTGCTGGCACATCCAAATGGCCTCCGCTCTGGGATCTTTCTCCGCCTTGGCCGCCCGTGCCCTGGCCTTGGCTTTGGCCTTGGCCTTGGCTTTGCCCGTCACTGCCAGCGAACTGCCAACCTTCATGGCCTTCATCTTCGTACCCTTCATGACGGAACTGGATGAACTTGGTTTCTTGATTGGCCCGCAGCTGGATGCACTTGGCTTCTTCATTGACCGGCGGCAAAAACAGGGCTACAAGAAGAAGTAAGCTACCGCAGCGGATGCCGGTAAATCTTGCTTGAGCCGTCATCCAAAGAGAACTGGTGCTACAAACCGCAGATAGGCTCACAACCAAAGGATTTCTTGGCGGAACTTCTGCCGATTTCGACGGGAACTGGTGCGCCACACGCAGTTCAGCGGTGCGGAACTCGTGCGCACCCAGCACATGTGCCTGGAAAATCAGCTGAGTCCAGTTCAAGACCTCAGTCACTCAGCTATCCAAGGCTTTTGATCCTTCCTCTTGGTAGATGTTCTTTGGGGCAGTTGATTTATACCATCTGGGGCCCAGAAAACCACCCAGTTGCTGGGCTCTTCGCTTTCCCGGTAAAGAGTCTCACGTCTCCGTGGGGAAGTCAGGCCACACGGAAGACCAGCTGGGTAGGATGAACAGGATGAACAGCAGGAACGGGGTTTCCGGGAGAAAGAAGGCCCCTTGGTTTCTGGGAACCAGGAGAAAGAAGGTTTTTCTAGTCCAGCTTGGTTCCTGGGAGCTTTTTTGAGGAGCCAGGAAAGAATTAACACCTTTCCGGAAGGGGATTGAAATGGATTGAACCACAAGGAAACTATAAACATCACCTTAAGCAAAACCAGGTTCTTCTTAGGCTACCTGAACCCCCCTTAAAAGAATGATTTTACCTACTACTGTATGAGGTTGGTTTGAAGCTGAAGGCCATCTGGAAAAGGCACACTGCCAGTGAAGAATTCCATCTCAAAAGTCAATCTTTGGGTTTTTAGACTTCTATTTTGGGAACAAACTCAGACCTCCATCCACCGCAGTCATCTGCGAATACTCCATGCTCCTGCTCACGCTAAGCTGACCACCAACTCTGCTGAAGAGTCCTCGAGAGTGCCCATCCTGTCAAGCAGCATGGAGAGTGAGGTGTCTGCTTCTTTCGCGTTTACGGCCGCAACGCTGGGGAAAAACAGCATGACACACCCGCTGTTTTGACGCGGGCTTTTGGTGGCTCGGCATTGCGCCCTCGCCCGCCCTCCCGCCCTCCCGCCGTCCCTCTGAGACACCCAAACGCATAGGCGGTGGCTTGGCAATACTCATGGGACGTGACGGCCATGTCCTCAGAGCGGTCTC